TGGGCTGTCACGAGGGACTCTGGCTGACTGATCTCTCGGCCAATGGGCTGTCACGAGGGACTCTGGCTGGCTGATCTCTCGGCCAATGGGCTGTCACGAGGGACTCTGGCTGGCTGATCTCTCGGCCAATGGGCTGTCACGAGGGACTCTGGCTGACTGATCTCTCGGCCAATGGGCTGTCACGAGGGACTCTGGCTGGCTGATCTCTCGGCCAATGGGCTGTCACGAGGGACTCTGGCTGGCTGATCTCTCGGCCAATGGGCTGTCACGAGGGACTCTGGCTGACTGATCTCTCGGCCAATGGGCTGTCACGAGGGACTCTGGCTGGCTGATCTCTCGGCCAATGGGCTGTCACGAGGGACTCTGGCTGACTGATCTCTCGGCCAATGGGCTGTCACGAGGGACTCTGGCTGACTGATCTCTCGGCCAATGGGCTGTCACGAGGGACTCCGGCCAATGGGCTGTCACGAGGGACTCTGGCTGACTGATCTCTCGGCCAATGGGCTGTCACGAGGGACTCTGGCTGACTGATCTCTCGGCCAATGGGCTGTCACGAGGGACTCTGGCTGACTGATCTCTCGGCCAATGGGCTGTCACGAGGGACTCTGGCTGGCTGATCTCCCGGCCAATGGGCTGTCACTAAGGACGTTGGCTGGCTGATCTCCCGGCCAATGGGCTGTCACTAAGGACGTTGGCTGGCTGATCTCCCGGCCAATGGGCTGTCACTAAGGACGTTGGCTGGCTGATCTCCCGGCCAATGGGCTGTCACTAAGGACGTTGGCTGGCTGATCTCCCGGCCAATGGGCTGTCACTAAGGACGTTGGCTGGCTGATCTCCCGGCCAATGGGCTGTCACTAAGGACGTTGGCTGGCTGATCTCCCGGCCAATGGGCTGTCACTAAGGACGTTGGCTGGCTGATCTCCCGGCCAATGGGCTGTCACTAAGGACGTTGGCTGGCTGATCTCCCGGCCAATGGGCTGTCACTAAGGACGTTGGCTGGCTGATCTCCCGGCCAATGGGCTGTCACTAAGGACGTTGGCTGGCTGATCTCCCGGCCAATGGGCTGTCACTAAGGACGTTGGCTGGCTGATCTCCCGGCCAATGGGCTGTCACTAAGGACGTTGGCTGGCTGATCTCCCGGCCAATGGGCTGTCACTAAGGACGTTGGCTGGCTGATCTCCCGGCCAATGGGCTGTCACTAAGGACGTTGGCTGGCTGATCTCCCGGCCAATGGGCTGTCACTAAGGACGTTGGCTGGCTGATCTCCCGGCCAATGGGCTGTCACTAAGGACGTTGGCTGGCTGATCTCCCGGCCAATGGGCTGTCACTAAGGACGTTGGCTGGCTGATCTCCCGGCCAATGGGCTGTCACTAAGGACGTTGGCTGGCTGATCTCCCGGCCAATGGGCTGTCACTAAGGACGTTGGCTGGCTGATCTCCCGGCCAATGGGCTGTCACTAAGGACGTTGGCTGGCTGATCTCCCGGCCAATGGGCTGTCACTAAGGACGTTGGCTGGCTGATCTCCCGGCCAATGGGCTGTCACTAAGGACGTTGGCTGGCTGATCTCCCGGCCAATGGGCTGTCACTAAGGACGTTGGCTGGCTGATCTCCCGGCCAATGGGCTGTCACTAAGGACGTTGGCTGGCTGATCTCCCGGCCAATGGGCTGTCACTAAGGACGTTGGCTGGCTGATCTCCCGGCCAATGGGCTGTCACTAAGGACGTTGGCTGGCTGATCTCCCGGCCAATGGGCTGTCACTAAGGACGTTGGCTGGCTGATCTCCCGGCCAATGGGCTGTCACTAAGGACGTTGGCTGGCTGATCTCCCGGCCAATGGGCTGTCACTAAGGACGTTGGCTGGCTGATCTCCCGGCCAATGGGCTGTCACTAAGGACGTTGGCTGGCTGATCTCCCGGCCAATGGGCTGTCACTAAGGACGTTGGCTGGCTGATCTCCCGGCCAATGGGCTGTCACTAAGGACGTTGGCTGGCTGATCTCCCGGCCAATGGGCTGTCACTAAGGACGTTGGCTGGCTGATCTCCCGGCCAATGGGCTGTCACTAAGGACGTTGGCTGGCTGATCTCCCGGCCAATGGGCTGTCACTAAGGACGTTGGCTGGCTGATCTCCCGGCCAATGGGCTGTCACTAAGGACGTTGGCTGGCTGATCTCCCGGCCAATGGGCTGTCACTAAGGACGTTGGCTGGCTGATCTCCCGGCCAATGGGCTGTCACTAAGGACGTTGGCTGGCTGATCTCCCGGCCAATGGGCTGTCACTAAGGACGTTGGCTGGCTGATCTCCCGGCCAATGGGCTGTCACTAAGGACGTTGGCTGGCTGATCTCCCGGCCAATGGGCTGTCACTAAGGACGTTGGCTGGCTGATCTCCCGGCCAATGGGCTGTCACTAAGGACGTTGGCTGGCTGATCTCCCGGCCAATGGGCTGTCACTAAGGACGTTGGCTGGCTGATCTCCCGGCCAATGGGCTGTCACTAAGGACGTTGGCTGGCTGATCTCCCGGCCAATGGGCTGTCACTAAGGACGTTGGCTGGCTGATCTCCCGGCCAATGGGCTGTCACTAAGGACGTTGGCTGGCTGATCTCCCGGCCAATGGGCTGTCACTAAGGACGTTGGCTGGCTGATCTCCCGGCCAATGGGCTGTCACTAAGGACGTTGGCTGGCTGATCTCCCGGCCAATGGGCTGTCACTAAGGACGTTGGCTGGCTGATCTCCCGGCCAATGGGCTGTCACTAAGGACGTTGGCTGGCTGATCTCCCGGCCAATGGGCTGTCACTAAGGACGTTGGCTGGCTGATCTCCCGGCCAATGGGCTGTCACTAAGGACGTTGGCTGGCTGATCTCCCGGCCAATGGGCTGTCACTAAGGACGTTGGCTGGCTGATCTCCCGGCCAATGGGCTGTCACTAAGGACGTTGGCTGGCTGATCTCCCGGCCAATGGGCTGTCACTAAGGACGTTGGCTGGCTGATCTCCCGGCCAATGGGCTGTCACTAAGGACGTTGGCTGGCTGATCTCCCGGCCAATGGGCTGTCACTAAGGACGTTGGCTGGCTGATCTCCCGGCCAATGGGCTGTCACTAAGGACGTTGGCTGGCTGATCTCCCGGCCAATGGGCTGTCACTAAGGACGTTGGCTGGCTGATCTCCCGGCCAATGGGCTGTCACTAAGGACGTTGGCTGGCTGATCTCCCGGCCAATGGGCTGTCACTAAGGACGTTGGCTGGCTGATCTCCCGGCCAATGGGCTGTCACTAAGGACGTTGGCTGGCTGATCTCCCGGCCAATGGGCTGTCACTAAGGACGTTGGCTGGCTGATCTCCCGGCCAATGGGCTGTCACTAAGGACGTTGGCTGGCTGATCTCCCGGCCAATGGGCTGTCACTAAGGACGTTGGCTGGCTGATCTCCCGGCCAATGGGCTGTCACTAAGGACGTTGGCTGGCTGATCTCCCGGCCAATGGGCTGTCACTAAGGACGTTGGCTGGCTGATCTCCCGGCCAATGGGCTGTCACTAAGGACGTTGGCTGGCTGATCTCCCGGCCAATGGGCTGTCACTAAGGACGTTGGCTGGCTGATCTCCCGGCCAATGGGCTGTCACTAAGGACGTTGGCTGGCTGATCTCCCGGCCAATGGGCTGTCACGCGGGACTCTGGCTGACCGATCTCTCGGCCTATGGGCTGTCGCTGGCTGTTCGCCCCCTGGCGGTCCCCATTGCTCCTATGCAGTGCAGGGCGCTGGTCAGAGACGTGAGCCCTCCTGGCAGGGCTGGGTTGCCCAGCAGGCAGACTAGCCCAGGCTTGAGAGGGGGTTTTGAAAGATGTGCAGAAAGCCGGGCCGCCCCCACGGGACCGGGCTCTGGAGCCCCCGTCTCACTGACAGGGACCGAGAGCAGCACGGCCAGGCCAGGCTCAGTCGCTCCCCTGCCGCGTGGGGACGCGCACACCCGGGAGTCAGGTTCCATGAACTGATCCAGAATTTTGCAATCAGAAAATCTAGACAGAGGCTGTTTTAATCTCAGCAAACATGGAAGTTCTGTGTCATTTCAAAAAATAAAAGTTGATTTGCCGGTCTAGTATTGGTTTTACTTTGAATTACATTGGGGGGCACCGTCATCTTTTCAGTGCTTAATCCGGCCCTGCTCGTAGGCCCCATGCTCGGCACGGCTCTGGTGCTGCTGTTTGCTGATTGCAGGCCTGTTCCACTTGGAGTTCCCAGCGCTAGCCCAGCTCTCTGAGACGGGGATGGCTGCATGCAAGGGAGCTAGCGGAATACAAGGGACATAGTGGGCACAGCAGCTGCAGGAAGTGCGGGAGCTGGCAATGGATGAGCATTCATCACTATGACCAGCTCCCAAGGCGTTTGCATCCTGCTGGGCCACCTGAAATAGGAGGCGGGTGATCCAGACAGTGCCCTGCAACATTACTGTGTGGCTATGTCTACACTGCCCCCTCTTGCGTAAAAAATATGTAAATGAGGTGCAGTCATATGCCACAGTTTGCCTCATTTGCGTTTTTTTTGCTCAGGAGGGGGCACTGTAGACATAGCCTTTGGTTTCTTTAGGAGCATCAGATGTTCTGATGAGGAAAGGGATAAACACACACTAAACTGTTGCTAACCTTTTCTCACAGAAAGGAACAACATTACAGCAGAATCAGAAACCATGTCTGGTAACCTAGTCTGCATCCCTTTCTCGAAAAAGGGATGTAAATTAGACACTTTGAAATTGCAAGTGAAGTGGGGATTTAAATATCCCGCACTTCATTTGCATAATGGTGGTCATTTGAACAAGCACCATGTTGAAAGTAAAACCGTGGTCTAGATGGGGTTCTGTCAAAAATGGCAGGCTTTTTCGAAAGATCCTGTATTCCTCAAAAAATGTCTCCCTCCCTGAACCCCCATCACCACCTGAACCCAAGCTCAGGGAAATCAATAGAATGACTTACATGGATTTTGGGTCAGCCCTGCACAGCACAAGATCAAGGAGGCAGGACTGGCTCAGAGGAGACAATCTGTCTTCTTCCCAGCACATGCTGGAGCCTACGTTGTCAGCCAGAAAAACTCAGGGTACTAGGGTATTAGCAGTTAGGTAACCATTTAACTGGTAAGTGACTGCTTGTCAATTTTACACACGCACATGCGCGCATTCTGCATTTAAAAGTTGGACCATCAGGCTGGCTCAGTCCCACCAAGCAAGTCCAAGTTTTAAATGAAAAGCATACAGAAGAGCTGCCTGTCACCCTGCGCTACTGCAGAGGCGACAGTTCGGGGTGGCAGGCAGGAGCTGGTCTGTGCAGAAAGCTGGTTTGCCGTGCTGACCTCCTTGCAGACAGGCTGCTCCGGTAGCCCATGGAGCAGCCTTTGTCCGTGGGGAGCTCAGGCCCCCTCATGGACAGGGGCTGCACCCTCTGATATGATTTTTAACATCCCTACAGGGTACCCTGTTGTACCTGAGGGTTGCAAGAGCTGTCACAGACGGGAGTCCAGCACATTTGTAATAAGCTGGTTTTTCAGCTTATTTTATTGCAGACAGGCTGCTCCGGTAGCCCATGGAGCAGCCTTTGTCCGTGGGGAGCTCAGGCCCCCTCATGGACAGGGGCTGCACCCTCTGATATGATTTTTAACATCCCTACAGGGTACCCTGTTGTACCTGAGGGTTGCAAGAGCTGTCACAGACGGGAGTCCAGCACATTTGTAATAAGCTGGTTTTTCAGCTTATTTTAATGCACATTTGAGTCCCAAAACATATTTTGTTGCCTGTTTGGTTGAAGCCTAGTCTATTGTCAGTCTCAATCAGGAGCCCACTTCCCCACTTCTAGGATTTAGAGAGACCCCCCTCCTGCCCTCTTTTCCTTCCTCTGCAGCTCTTCAATCTCGAAGAGGCATTTTGGGGTGGGGCTGGAAATGTCAGTGGTCTGGCAAAGCCTGCCCTTGCTAGACACGGTTGTGGTTGAAATCAGTGCTTACAACAAGGTTGGCTGAGGGCAAACTGGGGAGTGCAGCTGAGTTTTTATTCCAGTCACTCCTAGACAGTAGGTGCAGAAAGGATTTGGGGAGCAGTGCCCTGTGAATGGACAGGGCTGGAAACGTCTGTCTATGACCTGTACATGTTTACAGTGACTCCAGTGCCTGGGGAGATGGATGTGCCTTAGAGGATATGAAGGCTGGTGTGATACAATAACTTATCAAAGACAAAACAAGTGTAACCCCCTTTTTCCTCCCCAGGTTACTGGGGAGCAGGTCACACTCACAGGTGTGCCTGGGTGCCTGGTGTTTTAACCCAAAAGAGATCCTGAGCACCCTAGTGGTGCTGGTATTTAGTTGGGGAAAGCCCTATCCGCCCCCTTGCTGCAGTCCCTTGCTGGCAGTGAATATAAAATGGTGGTGCCTCTACCTGGCTGGCCTTGTACACCCACTGGTGCCTTGAGAGCCTCCAGGAACATACTCATTCCAACATAAATCTGGATCTAATTCCAGAACAACTACAAATCATAGACATCTAATAGAACACTTTAAAATAAACAATCTTTACTTAACTTAACTAAACAGGGATTAACAGATTAGCAAGGAATAGCATTAACAAAACACATAACAGTAACTGAAGCTTATACAGCCAGACAACAGTGACCCCACCCCAGAGTGTGCACACCCCTAGACTCAGTCCCAGACACTTGCTTGCGTGGGCGCGCTGATGTTGCAGCTGTAGTGAGGATTTGGTCCAGGCTAAACAGCAGCTCTGTCCCAGGCAGCACTCTTCCAACAAGGCCCAAGACTTGCTGTGCCTATCGGAAGCAGCCTGCTAACCCCCAGTTCCAACAGGCATCCAGTAGCTGCACTTCAACAGCCCCTGCACTGGGTCACTGTCCTTGGCAGCAGCCTGGCTCCCCCTCTGGTTCCAAACTCCAAGGCAGAGACCCAGACTGCTTGGCCTCTTTCCTTCAAGCACATGGAGAGAGCAGTCCTGTCTCCCCCCAGAGTCCTCCCTTCCTGTTTTTTTCCCAAGGGCTCATGGGAATTGTAGTCTGGATTGTAGCACACAGGGTCTTTTCAGAATAAAACAGAGGCCCCTTTAGTAAGGGGACTACACAAGGTATGGGTATGGGAAAGTTTGGTTGGCAAGGACATTGGGTTTCAGGGTGTGTGATGGGACTTAACCCCCATCACCTGCAAGAAAAAGGAAAGGAGCAACTTAGTCATGTTCTGCAGCTATGGGGAGAAATGAATTGTCCCCAGGACAGAAGAGGCAGCATTAGTTGTGGATGATGTAGAGAACTGCAAAGAAGATAGATCTCCCAAACAGAGAGGAATCCTGAGCTAGGGCCAACAATGGCAAGGGAGGTGAAGTTGAGCTCAGGGGAAGAAGAGAGCTTTTTCTAGGGAGTAGAACTCTGAAAGGGGACAGAACTCTTGTGTGAGAATGCCAGAGAGCTGAGCCACAGGAGGGAGGAACTACAGAGGAGGGACCTCTGTGGCTGAGCATTGCAGCCAAGGAAATGGCCACCAGACGGAAAACCAGGTAGTGTCAGTGTGCTAGGTGAGCTTGCTCACCGGGTACCCAGCAACAGAGCTAGAGAAAGTCCATTTCTTTCCCCTCACTCAGCTTGTTAATAGATGAGAAAACTTTTGTCTCTCTCCCTGGCCAGAGATGAGGGGAGATGGGTGGATTGGTTTCTGTCAGTGCATGTTCCATCTATCCCTGCCCCTGGTGTTGGTATGGGTACCCTGGGAGCCCTTAGCAGCATGCTGATACAAAGCTAACAAGGAGCCTTTCTGGAGCAGTTGGTGTCATGATGGATGGGAAGAGGCTCTGCTACAGCTCTCATTTTGCACAACTTTCCATGGGCTCTGCTCTTTGGCAGCAGGAGACAATGGCAGCTGCAGAATGGACATTATGATCTTGCAGCAGGCAACTTGAGAAGCCAGGTCTGAAATCCTGATCGGGTTCTCAGGTTTCCTCTAAATTGTTCCCTTAACAAAGTGTTATAAATCCTTGCTACAGCCCAAGATTTGGAGTGGGCACTTCTGAAACTGGAGCCTTTCATCACTGCTGAATTTCCAGATGAAATATTGATGTGAAAAATCTTCCACCCAACTCTCCAGCATTGGCTGATTAACATTGTGCTTTTCGCATGCCCTTGCCTCAGCCTGGCTTCAAGGACTCTGGCTTAGTGTAGCTTTCCTTCTTTTACACTCACTTTGACAACAAGCCACATTTTTCATTTGAGCCAAGAAACACGCTCCTTTGTGTTTAGGCAGCTAACAAGCAGCTTTATTAATTAATAAAGCACAGCATGAGCCAAACGTGGTCACAGCAGAGCCAGACCCAGTAAGGCTACTAATACAATCAATCCTAGTATCTTTATACCCTTAACCAAACAGTCTGACGTCAGGGCATCCAATTACAGAAATCCTCAATTAAATTTGGAAAAACAAAGCCTTATCAACAAGATGGCGGACAGGTGCGAGGGAGTACATCTCCTGTCCCAACCAGCCCAATTAACACATACCAATAGCCCATCCTGTAGGCCTCTTCTCACGGGGTGACAGAAAGTTCACTCTGGTCTACGTGCTTGAGAGAAAAGCTGAAATGGTTTCTGATATACAAGATGGCTTCTAGCTAAATATGAAAATGGTTTCTACAGCTTCTACAACTCCCCCCTTTTAGCCTTTTAAAGGCTAACCTTGAAACCATTTTATACCTCCATTTTCCATTAAAGTATTTATGTACATTTCTTGTTCCTTTCTCTGCTCATCCTATTTTAACATCACGAGTTCCACATTCCCTTTGGTAAGGGTCTGTCTTGTGTTTTCCAGAATACAAGAAATACAGCATTTGATTAGCAAGAAACAAAAATAGGCACAAAAGAATATAGCTAATACTAAAACTATTCTTTGCAACATCCAAGTTCCCACATGTCCAAACCAG